TTTTGTAAATTTTGATAATTTTGAAAATGTTTCATGATCGATAAAAATTATTTTATAAAGGAGCAACATGTCATAGCGCTACAATTCATTATTCTATTTGGCACTGATGATTGGTATTGTTTTTATACATATCATGAAACGGATCGTTTGCCCGCCAATTTGATTTGTTTCAATTGTTCGAATTATAATGCTCCTGCTTAACTGCAGTCGAGCACTCTCTTTGGGAAACCAAACAACAACTATTTATTAGTTATGCTCCTTCGACTCGTCGTTGTTGAGCACTCTCGTTTGATAACCAGAATCAACAATTAACTCTCAAATACGGATCCTAATTCTACCAGCTTCACGGAACTCAGTAAAGAATTTTCCTCTACCACTACACGAAGGCCAACGCAGTTTACAACTTTAAAAGCCAAAGATATCTTACTACCTTACTTCATAGACAATTTTAAAATTGGGACGGACACAATAAACTGTTTTTTTTGGAAATTTTGTAAATTTTGATAATTTTGAAAATGTTTCATGATCGATAAAAATTATTTTATAAAGGAGCAACATGTCATAGCGCTACAATTCATTATTCTATTTGGCACTGATGATTGGTATTGTTTTTATACATATCATGAAACGGATCGTTTGCCCGCCAATTTGATTTGTTTCAATTGTTCGAATTATATATACATATATATACTTCACGACAATCTGTTGTAAAACAGGGGTTCCAGAAAACCCACTTGCCGATACTGCTGAAACATGAAAAAATTTTTGCAGTCGATTTGGACGAGGTCTGTTTGTTTGTTTGTTTGTTTATAGAACCCGTCCCCAATCTCGTATTGGAAAATGACTAAACTCAGGTCTGAGTGTGAATACGGGTGGTACCTGCAAGAGTGTTCATTAAGCATTTAGAGTTCTGTAAAACTGCAGTTACAATTGTGCTAGAGTATTTTTAGTATATACGATTGGTATCAGAAATATATCCCTACATGCTTCCAAAATTTGTAAAGCCGTAGTACATACATATCACATTACACCAGAGCCTACACAGTGCAATCTCCTCCAGTCTATCTGCGCCGCGTATATTTGTATAAGCACACGGCGCAGACTGGAAAAAACCACACTCTGCAAGTTCAATCCAGTGCAATGCTACATGTACGTACTACGGCTTCATCTCCAACTTTCTGCACAATGTACTGGAACGTTTTGAAGGAAAAGAAAGAACAAAAAAAGTGATATATATAAATAAAATCAGCGATTTAATGTTAGCCTTGGGACAGTAACTTTAATTCCCTGGTTTCTAAAATCAGCTTTTTAAAAAAAAATAATAATAAAGTATGTAACGTCGATACCAAACCGATTATTGAGCGATAATAACTGAGTAGTTGATTCCTGGGTTGCAGAGTCATTCAGATGTTCCAGTCTTCGAATGTGGTTCTTGTTCAGTTCTTGACCAGAAGTGTCTAATGAAGTAAGTCAGACAAGCAAACTCTTCCTTAAATGCTCATATAAGTCGTCTCAATCCCAGAAATTATGAATGATGACCCAGTGTAAAAGTGCAGAAATCGGCCAAAAATAACAAAGACTAAAAACAGTTAAAAAGTGAAAGGATTCAAACACAAGGAAAATTAATAACTTAGAGCGTAATAAGGAATATCTCCAAACGGAGTTTTCTGAGAGGGTGAGAGGTTCTTTAATTAGAGCTAATGATTAAATGAGACCCACTAAAGGTACTAAATTAACCGGACTGCTAGCAAGGAATCGAGAGTGGGAATAAAACTAAAAGCGGAATAAATTTTAAGATAATGAAACAGAAACTGAAAGCTAAAATATATACCGTTCTAGAATGCCTCCGCAAACTATTGCTCCTTTGTAATGTGCACGTGTTAGTAAGTGTAGTAAAAAGATAAAAATAATAAAGCTATACAAATGAACGGAGCGGTGAAAATCTGAGAGGGTGAGAGGTTCTTTAATTAGAGCTAATGATTAAATGAGACCCACTAAAGGTACTAAATTAACCGGACTGCTAGCAAGGAATCGAGAGTGGGAATAAAACTAAAAGCGGAATAAATTTTAAGATAATGAAACAGAAACTGAAAGCTAAAATATATACCGTTCTAGAATGCCTCCGCAAACTATTGCTCCTTTGTAATGTGCACGTGTTAGTAAGTGTAGTAAAAAGATAAAAATAATAAAGCTATACAAATGAACGGAGCGGTGAAAATCTGAGAGGGTGAGAGGTTCTTTAATTAGAGCTAATGATTAAATGAGACCCACTAAAGGTACTAAATTAACCGGACTGCTAGCAAGGAATCGAGAGTGGGAATAAAACTAAAAGCGGAATAAATTTTAAGATAATGAAACAGAAACTGAAAGCTAAAATATATACCGTTCTAGAATGCCTTCGCAAACTATTGCTCCTTTGTAATGTGCACGTGTTAGTAAGTGTAGTAAAAAGATAAAAATAATAAAGCTATACAAATGAACGGAGCGGTGAAAATCTGAGAGGGTGAGAGGTTCTTTAATTAGAGCTAATGATTAAATGAGACCCACTAAAGGTACTAAATTAACCGGACTGCTAGCAAGGAATCGAGAGTGGGAATAAAACTAAAAGCGGAATAAATTTTAAGATAATGAAACAGAAACTGAAAGCTAAAATATATACCGTTCTAGAATGCCTCCGCAAACTATTGCTCCTTTGTAATGTGCACGTGTTAGTAAGTGTAGTAAAAAGATAAAAATAATAAAGCTATACAAATGAACGGAGCGGTGAAAATCTGAGCGGGTGAGAGGTTCTTTAATTAGAGCTAATGATTAAATGAGACCCACTAAAGGTACTAAATTAACCGGACTGCTAGCAAGGAATCGAGAGTGGGAATAAAACTAAAAGCGGAATAAATTTTAAGATAATGAAACAGAAACTGAAAGCTAAAATATATACCGTTCTAGAATGCCTCCGCAAACTATTGCTCCTTTGTAATGTGCACGTGTTAGTAAGTGTAGTAAAAAGATAAAAATAATAAAGCTATACAAATGAACGGAGCGGTGAAAATCTGAGAGGGTGAGAGGTTCTTTAATTAGAGCTAATGATTAAATGAGACCCACTAAAGGTACTAAATTAACCGGACTGCTAGCAAGGAATCGAGAGTGGGAATAAAACTAAAAGCGGAATAAATTTTAAGATAATGAAACAGAAACTGAAAGCTAAAATATATACCGTTCTAGAATGCCTCCGCAAACTATTGCTCCTTTGTAATGTGCACGTGTTAGTAAGTGTAGTAAAAAGATAAAAATAATAAAGCTATACAAATGAACGGAGCGGTGAAAATCTGAGAGGGTGAGAGGTTCTTTAATTAGAGCTAATGATTAAATGAGACCCACTAAAGGTACTAAATTAACCGGACTGCTAGCAAGGAATCGAGAGTGGGAATAAAACTAAAAGCGGAATAAATTTTAAGATAATGAAACAGAAACTGAAAGCTAAAATATATACCGTTCTAGAATGCCTCCGCAAACTATTGCTCCTTTGTAATGTGCACGTGTTAGTAAGTGTAGTAAAAAGATAAAAATAATAAAGCTATACAAATGAACGGAGCGGTGAAAATCTGAGAGGGTGAGAGGTTCTTTAATTAGAGCTAATGATTAAATGAGACCCACTAAAGGTACTAAATTAACCGGACTGCTAGCAAGGAATCGAGAGTGGGAATAAAACTAAAAGCGGAATAAATTTTAAGATCTTGGACGAGGTCTAGACGCCCTGCAAAGTTTCAGATCTCTAACTTAATTTTAACATGGTTTTTAAGGCACCTGAATATGGCGATTTTGGGTTTTTTACCTAATTTCGTATAACATGCTGGCGCGTATTTTGCGCAAATTTCTTAAGAACCTCCACATAACTATTTCTTATTCCTGTCATCTTTAACATTGAATTAGAATGTTTTGAACTTAAATATACCTGCTGAACTACTTTCGATGAGTCTTAATGCCTGGAAAACAATAAAGGGGATATAATAGTATAGGGGGTAAATAGTGTTGTGAATATAAGGGCAACGGTTATGCTTGCCAGCATTGTGACTATACTATACTTCACGACAATCTGTTGTAAAACAGGGGTTCCAGGAAACCCACTTCCCGATACTCCTGAAACTTGAAATTTCATTTACACTCGATTTGGTCAACGTCTAGACACCCTGCAAAGTTTCAGATCTTTTACTCATTTTTAACGTGGTTTTTGAGGCACCTGAATATGGCGATTTTGGGTTTTTACCTAATTTCGTATAACATGCTGGCGCGTATTTTGCACAAATTTCTTGAAAATCTCCAAATAACTATTTCTTATTCCTGTCATCTTTAACATCGAATTAGAATGGGGGTAAGCAGTAAGGGGGGTAAATAGTAAAGGGGGTAAATAGTAGAGGGGGTAAATAGTAAAGGTGGGTAAATAGTAAAGGGGGTAAATAGTATTGTGAATATAAGGGCGACGGTCATGCTTGCCAGCATTGTGATATTATATATATATATATATATACTTCACGACAATCTGTTGTAAAACAGGGGTTCCAGAAAACCCACTTCTCGATACTCCTGAAACATGAATTTTTTTTACAGTCGATTTGGACAAGGTCTAGACGCCCTGCAAAGTTTCATATCTCTAACTCAATTTTAACATGGTTTTTAAGGCACCTGAATATGGCGATTTTGGGTTTTTTACCTAATTTCGTATAACATGCTGGCGCGTATTTTGCGCAAATTTCTTAAAAACCTCCACATAACTATTTCTTATTCCTGTCATCTTTAACATTGAATAAGAATGTTTTGAACTTAAAAATGCCTGCTGAACTACTTTCGATGAGTCTTAATGCCTGGAAAACAATAAAGGGGATATACTAGTATAGGGGGTAGTATTGTGAATATAAGGGCGACGGTAATGCTTGCCAGCATTGTGATAATATGTATTTAACATTGAATAATGTTTATGAATGTTTAAAAACACAAATATGTCTCACAGTGATGGAGTTATGTGTCTTTTTTCAGGGTATTCATCACTTATCAATGCCATGAAGCTGATCGTTTCTGTAATTTGTATTCTGAAATGGTGATTTTATTGCCATGTGACACATTATTTGTTGTACATGTAATTTCTGGTAATCAACACGGTTCATGTTCAAAATGTAAAATTTGGTCACAGTTAAATTGAAAATAATTTAGATAATAGCAATGTGTTTTAAAGAGCAATTGAATTTTAGGAATTCAGCACAATAGGAGTGTTGCAGTAAATGACGAAAAAAAACAAACACTTTAAGTGGACATTTTTCTTACTAACCTTGAATTCTCATAAATTAATTGGAGCTGATATTCTCTCACTTTCTTCCTGCTCATCTCTATTCTGTCGACATTCGTATAGACTTTATACATCATCGTCTTTGTTCCTGGGGTTGTTAATTAATAACTTGAGATAGGATCGAGTAGATTATCATTAGACCTTAATAAGATCTTCTGGCTTTTGTCATTTGAAATGGAAATCACCGGATGTGCGGTTAGTTTCTAATATTTGCTAGACTATAATATCATCAAGGGTTTATGTTGTAACATTGAGCTGGATTCTACGTACATCTCACGATTGTATTAAGTGTTTTAGTTTAAATTTAATGTATTTATGAAACAAAGTGTTTTACTATGTTATAATGAAAATGCATTGCTTGTTAAATTTTTGAATTTAAATTGATTTTACATTTTATTTTGCTTTGTCAAATGCTGTTGTGTTGAGATCTCAGAGCAGGTTACCTCGATAACTTTTCTGGGGACTTATGGGTACTGGGTTTCTGCTGTCATACTTTTCCACCCGGAAAACTCAAACATACATTTTCTTATTTGGATATCTAAGTTAGATTGCAGTATCATCTGAGCTATTTGTCATAGCCCATCAACTGTAAGATTAAATTAAATCAGTTTTCTATAGTAATATAACCATTAACCAACTCTCCCCCTTACGACATTATTTTACCCCCTTTCGTCGGTTATGCTGATACTACCCTGGTTGTATGAAGAGTTTAGTTATCCTTTTGTAGTGATACTATGGTCATTTAGCATATCCGCTTCTAAAATTATACCTGTATTTATACACTCGGGTTCATTAAAATCGAAAATAAATTCCGTTCCTGAGGTGCAGGTCACCTCGCTGCTCCCTTTATTGAGAGCTCTGGATTCAATACAATTCACTTCCACCACAGTTCCTGGGACTACTGGGAACTGTGTTGTTGTTCTGATCGCAGTTCTCCACTCAGCCTTCAGTCCCGTACAGCTCACTGTCGATATGTCATATTAAATCACGTAAAACTGATTAATAAGGGTTATTTTGACGGTTTCTTATGTTCTCTTACGCAGTTCCGCGATTTAGTTTTCCTGTCCCAACCCCAACCCTTTCAAGCAACCTCAAATATAACTATACTATCGTTTGCTTGGGGGTCCAAGTCTCAAATACTATATACAATTTACCATTCTGTAGCGCAGTTAAATTAAATTTAAAACATAACAATAATATAAGATTTAAAGTTATCTTACCACAGGCAGTTTTGTTAGTGTTTGGTTTCCATCCAGCGTCACATGTCTCACAGCTTGTCATAGCATCATTCCGATATGTTCCTTCCCCACACGGCTCTGGAATTATAACGTTATTTATTATTACAACTGGTAAATCGTTGTGGAAGATAAGGAAATCGTTATTATATAAGTACACTTCAGATATGTTACAATTAAATTAGGTTTAAAACAATAGGTGAATAATTAAATATCCACACAACCACGGTTTTTTGATAGAATTATTACCACCCAGACTCTTATTACAGTTCTTGTCTTTTCGTACCACAAATTTGCCTTCTTGATTCTAAGTCCTATCTGGCGCCTTATCCTTATCCCGTCTTAACCCTTATCTTTGCCCATCTATATAATATACATATAATCATCTCAGCTCGGTTCTTGTTAACAATTCTTACCACATTTTGTTCTCCCTGAGTTTCGTTCCTGGCCAAGTTCACAAGCTGTACACAAGGCTGCTCCTTCTGAACTGATTGTGTTATCAGAACATTCTTCACATGTGTTCATATCAATGTTCTTGTAGCTTCCAGCTGGACATGACTCTGAAGAATTAGGAAATCTTTAAGCAGCAATTCGTTTGAACTACCTTATTTAGAAGTTATTGTGAGTACCAATATCCTTGGTTTTCATTCTATAGCACAGTTAATTCAAATTTAAAACATAACAATAATATTAAATTTTATAAGCTTTAAAGTTATCTTACCACAAGCTGTTTTGTCAGAGTTTGGTATCAATCCAGCGTCACATGTCTCACAGCTTGTCATAGCATCATTCCGATATGTTTTTTCTCCACACGGCTCTACAATTTTAACGTTACAAATGGCAAATCGTTGTAGAAGATAAGAAAATCGTTATTATGTATGTACACTTCAGATGTGTTACAATTACATAAGATTTAAAACAATAGTACAGTTAATTCAAATTTAAAACATAACAATAATAATATAATATTAAATTTTATAAGCTTTAAAGTTATCTTACCACAGGCTGTTTTGTCAGAGTTTGGTTTCCATCCAGCGTCACATGTCTCACAGCTTGTCATAGCATCATTCCGATATGTTCCTTCCCCACACGGCTCTGGAATTAATAACGTTAAAACTGGCAAATCGTAGTGGAAGATAAGAAAATCGTTATTATATAAATATTTAAGTACAGATTAGATGTGTTACAATAACATTAGATTTAAAACAATGTGTGAAAAATTAGATGTCCACACAACTTTGACCATCTTTGACCATCTACAGGGTGTTGCAAGACTCGTGTCCAAATTTTGAATGGCTCTCAAAATCTAAAAAATAAGACAAACGGTCTAATTTTTGTTTTAAATTGTAGACAAATTATTACATTTCAAAATACATAACAAAAATAAATCTAATATTTTAACAATTTTTCGAACCAAGCCCCCTTTCTGCATAGAAGGTTTTGAACCCTCGGAAGCATATTGTCTATTGCACGTTTTACCATGTCAATTTTTAACTTTTTAGCCTCCCTTCTGATATTGTTTTTTAGCTCATCTACTGTTTGTGGGACTGGGTCTGAATAGACACGTCTTTTCAGATAGCCCCACAAAAAGAAATCGGCCGGATTCAGGTCAGGGCTGTAGGGAGGCCAGCTGAACTCAGCTTTCCTCGATATCAGTCTTTCCCCAAAATGCTCCTTCAGCCAAGCCAAACTTTCGTGCGAACAGTGTGGAGGGGCCCCGTCTTGTTGGAATATACAGGAATCAAGTATTTTTTTCCTTTTAAGTACTGGGATAACTTTTCCACGCAACATAGCAATGTAATTTGCTGTCCTTATCGTCTCTGCCTTCTCTTCTTCATTCTTGAAAAAGTGGGGTCCGAAGACACCATGGTAACTGAGGCCCATCCAAACAGTCACCTTTTCTCTGGTTTTTGGACCTTCCACGGTGGCACAGGGTTGCTTATCTGACCAGATTCGGGCATTCTGAGTATTTTCCTGCCTGCATTACCGTATTTCTTTGAAAGTGCCCTCCTAGCAGCAGCCCCACTACTTCCGTTGACATAGAAAAGCTTGACCATGTCTACTCTCATTTCGTCTGATATGCCAGGTTTTGACATTTTTTCGAAGAAAATTTCGAAAGGATACAAATTTGCGAAAAGATGAGTTTTGAAACGAATTTGTGAGATATAACTAAAATTTAAGGTATAACCAGCATTTTAAAACCGATTGCATCTAATTTTGCTCCTTCATAAAATTAAAAATTAAAATTTTAAATTTGGACACGAGTCTCGAAACACCCTGTATATAATATAGATATAATCATCTCAGCTCGGTTCTTGTTAACAATCCTTACCACACGTTGTTCTCGCTGAGTTTCGTTCCTGGCCAAGTTCACAAGTTGTACACAAGGCTGCTCCTTCTGAACTGATCGTGTTATCAGGACATTCTTTACATGTGTTCATCTCAATGTTCTTGTAGCTTCCAGCTGGACATGGCTCTGAAGAATTAGGAAATTTTTAAGCAGCAATTCGTTTGAACTACCTTATTAATATTAAGAAGTTATTGTAAGTACCAATATCCTTGGTTTTCATTCTATAGCACAGTTAATTCAAATTTAAAACATAACAATAATAATATAATATTAAATTTTATAAGCTTTAAAGTTATCTTACCACAGGCTGTTTTGTCAGAGTTTGGTTTCCATCCAGCGTCACATGTCTCACAGCTTGTCATAGCATCATTCCGATATGTTCCTTCCCCACACGGCTCTGGAATTAATAACGTTAAAACTGGCAAATCGTAGTGGAAGATAAGAAAATCGTTATTATATAAATATTTAAGTACAGATTAGATGTGTTACAATAACATTAGATTTAAAACAATGTGTGAAAAATTAGATGTCCACACAACTTTGACCATCTTTGACCATCTATATAATATAGATATAATCATCTCAGCTCGGTTCTTGTTAAAAATCCTTACCACACGTTGTTCTCGCTGAGTTTCGTTCCTGGCCAAGTTCACAAGCTGTGCACAAGGCTGCTCTTTCTGAACTGATCGTGTTATCAGGACATTCTTTACATGTGTTCATCTCAATGTTCTTGTAGCTTCCAGCTGGACATGGCTCTGAAGAATTAGGAAATCTTTAAGCAGCAATTCGTTTGAACTACCTTATTAATATTAAGAAGTTATTGTAAGTACCAATATCCTTGGTTTTCATTCTATAGCACAGTTAATTCAAATTTAAAACATAACAATAATAATATAATATTAAATTTTATAAGCTTTAAAGTTATCTTACCACAGGCTGTTTTGTCAGAGTTTGGTTTCCATCCAGCGTCACATGTCTCACAGCTTGTCATAGCATCATTCCGATATGTTCCTTCCCCACACGGCTCTGGAATTAATAACGTTAAAACTGGCAAATCGTAGTGGAAGATAAGAAAATCGTTATTATATAAGTATTTAAGTACAGATTAGATGTGTTACAATAACATTAGATTTAAAACAATGTGTGAAAAATTAGATGTCCACACAACTTTGACCATCTTTGACCATCTATATAATATAGATATAATAATCTCAGCTCGGTTCTTGTTAAGAATCCTTACCACACGTTGTTCTCGCTGAGTTTCATTCCTGGCCAAGTTCACAAGTTGTACACAAGGCTGCTCCTTCTGAACTGATCGTGTTATCAGGACATTCTTTACATGTGTTCATCTCAATGTTCTTGTAGCTTCCAGCTAGACATGGCTCTGAAGAATTAGGAAATCTTTAAGCAGCAATTCGTTTGAACTACCTTATTTAGAAGTTATTGTGAGTACCAATATCCTTGGTTTTCATTCTATAGCACAGTTAATTCAAATTTAAAACATAACAATAATATTATAATTAAATTTTATAAGTTTTAAAGATATCTTACCACAGGCTGTTTTGTCAGAGTTTGGTGTCAATCCAGCGTCACATGTCTCACAGCTTGTCATAACATCATTCCGATATGTTCCTTCCCCACACGGCTCTGGAATTAATATCGTTAAAACTGGAAAATCGTAGTAAAAGATAAGAAAATCTTTATTATTTAACTATTTAAGTACAGTTCAGATGTGTTACAATAACATTAGATATAAAACAATAGGTGACAAATTAAATATCCACACAACCACGGTTTTTTGATAGAATTATTACCACCCAGACTCTTACGGTTCTTGTCTTTTCGTACCACAAATTTGCCTTCTTGATTCTAAGTCCTATCTGGCGCCTTATCCTTATCCCGTCTTAACCCTTAGCCTATCTTTGCCCATCTATATATTATACATATAATCATCTCAGCTCAGTTCTTGTTAACAATTCTTACCACATTTTGTTCTCCCTGAGTTTCGTTCCTGGCCAAGTTCACAAGCTGTACACAAGGCTGCTCCTTCTGAACTGATTGTGTTATCAGAACATTCTTCACATGTGTTCATCTCAATGTTCTTGTAGCTTCCAGCTGGACATGACTCTGAAGAATTAGGAAATCTTTAAGCAGCTATTCATTTGAACTACCTTATTTAGAAGTTATTGTGAGTACCAATATCCTTGGTTTTCATTCTATACTTCTATAGCACAGTTAATTCAAATTTAAAACATAACAATAATATTATAATTAAATTTTATAAGTTTTAAAGATATCTTACCACAGGCTGTTTTGTCAGAGTTTGGTGTCAATCCAGCGTCACATGTCTCACAGCTTGTCATAGCATCATTCCGATATGTTTTTTCTCCACACGGCTCTACAATTATAACGTTACAAATGGCAAATCGTTGTAGAAGATAAGAAAACCGTTATTATTTATGTACACTTCAGATGTGTTACAATTACATATAATAAGATTTAAAACAATAGCACAGTTAATTCAAATTTAAAACATAACAATAATAATATTAAATTTTGTAAGCTTTAAAGTTATCTTACCACAGGCTGTTTTGTCAGAGTTTGGTTTCCATCCAGCGTCACATGTCTCACAGCTTGTCATAGCATCATTCCGATATGTTCCTTCCCCACACGGCTCTGGAATTAATATCGTTAAAACTGGCAAATCGTAGTAAAAGATAAGAAAA